GACCTGGAGGAAGTGTCTGGAGATCTTTGCTTAGACTGCTGCCCCCGCGACCCGGTCCCGGATAAGCGGAGGAAAATGGATGGATGGAATACACCATAGTAACTTAATACAACAAATGTCATGAGTTACCTGGAACGGGAGCGTCGTCTGCGAGAGCGGGAATGAGATCGGGAGCGGTGGTGAGGTCTCTCCTTCTTGCTGTCCTTCTCTCTTTCCCGTGATCTGGGCCTTTCATCTTTCTTATGAGACTTTTCTTCAGAGGGTTCTTTGATTTCAGTCACCGAGTCTGCTTTTACCACCTCAATAACTGGTTCACTATAGGACAAAAAGATACTCCCTATCAGACTGTCATATGCTCAAAACAAAAACAGGATGTGGAGGGGGGGGGGAAAAGCTAAATTATATGAATGTAATTACACTGTTCTTAACCTATATTGCCAATTAAACTAATTATGGATCACTTTTATTTTTGTTTTGATCAGTTCACTGTTCAGAATAATGGGTCCCATGCAAGAGGCAGTTGTGCAAACAGACTCATTAAGTGGCATTGTGTGGCATTCACCACTTTTCTCTGAATTTGAATTTTCTCCTAGGAATAAATTAATGAAATTCCAAAATGGTCCAGACAGCCTTTCTTCACAGTGAGTAAACACTTTTTGGCTGATTCTGGAATTTAAATATCATACATGGATTTATATATAAAAAAATGCACATCTACCCAACAATGCAATGTTCACCATATCATCAATAAATACTTTCGAATTGACAATTTTAGATTTCAGTATTTTTGATATTTCTTCATGATTAATAACAAGTTTGTGCTGTAAAGAGTGAAGTTTGGTGAAATGGACTAGGAACACAAGTGAGCCTCAGACAAATGAGAAAAATTAGACAAGAATGACAAGAAAATGCTCTTGCATGATGCCCACTGATACAATGGCTACACAGACTGAAAGACACTACAGGTCCCCAGACACTATTAAATAAACCTCATTACTACCCTAACTCTGCAACCGAGACAAAAAGCTAAAAACAAAGAAAGCATTCCACCAACCAGGTGGAAGAAGCCTCCTGAACAACTGGGTCTGGCACTGCTCTTCCTGATGTATCCGGCTCTGCATGTTGCTCTGAAGGCTTCAGGGGCAACTGCATCAGAGGTGGAGGGGGTGAAGTGCCACTAACTGGACTGGGTTTGCGTCTTGGGGACCGCGAGGGGCTGCGTTTTCTTTCCCGCTTCACTGGTGACCTTCGTCGAGGCGATGGTGACCTTGTCTTCCGCCTGGACAGAGGAGAAGGAAACACCATCATCTTTCCATGTTCTAACTTCCATCCTCTGAACTCAATATTGAAGACATTTTTTTTTTTACCTCCTTGGGCTCTTTGACTGAGCCCTGTCTCTAGAATCTTTGTCCTTCTTTTCCTCAGCAACCTTCTTTAGTGAAGAAAGCTTCTCCTGTTCAATCTGCCAAAAAGGGAATGAGGAAACAACCTCTTTACAATGCATCTACTGTTAGGGTGATTTTATTTTGAAGTAGATATGAATAGGATTAGTTAAGGTTTTTATTTCATAGCATACATAAGTTTACATACTTTTATTTCAGTTATGTTTATGTAGTTACATATCACCCTATGTGTTCACTGAATCGCTGGTCAATATTTATAGTCTTAGCCAACTGGAGCACTGGTTCAAGGGACTGGTTCACTAAAACACTGAATCTCATTAGATTTACAGCTTTGGCAAAGAGAATCCACAGTTACTTTACTATCACCACCTGGCAGATGAGCCCAGGGGAATTAGGGTTCACTGGGACACTATGGTTAGTAAACAGAGATTAGATCTGAAGCCAGGAAGAGGAGAAAACTTCAAAGGTAGAACCATTACGCACACACAGGCAAAGCAGTTTTAATTGGAACTGGAAAGCAATGCCTAATATAAAGCAGTTAGTTAGAAACAAAGGAAGTGTCTAGGTAAAAATTAAGGCAGTATAAATATTCCTCCTCCTCTTAGGATGCGGTCCTCTTCGATTGGAGCAGAAAGGACTAAGGAGGACGGACAGACTGAAGTGCCAATAACGGGAGAGTTAAGTCTAAACCACGGCTTCTCCCCAACAGTTTTTGACCAATTAGATAGTAGCACCTTTTCATACAAATATTGTATACCGACAAGTTGAAGACAGTCTTTTCTGTTTATCCTAAACAATGAAGATCCATGTGCACATGCTAATTTTGATACGTTAATGCATAATAATACATTTCACACTGTGATATATCCTTTTATTAGTCTTCTCTTTTCAAAATAAAAGAACACGCCTCACACTACCCTATAATGTCCATATACTCTGTGGACATTTCAACATGTCAAACGCCATTTTCAACATAACTGTCTAGGGTTGCAGCAGTATATCGGTTTCATGGTATACCTTAATATAAAAATTGATGATTATCATACTGTGCACATTTGCTTATTATCAGTATTGAGGAAAGAACTCAATGCGTACACACTTTTCTTACCCTTACTGCCTGTTGGACTCCACATGACCCTCTGTTTTACCAAAGTTTATTTCATGGAGCAGCTCACCTGTCTCAGTTTAATTTCTTCTTTCTTCTGTTCCAGAAAGGCAGAGGGGATGCCGGCAATGTTCTCCTGGGCGCTCAGCAGCAGGGGCCACAGGTCCTTCATGAACTCCCGGGCATTCTTCCCATTCAGGAAGCCTGTCAGGTTGATCTGCATCATCTTGCTATCCGGATGCTGCAACACACACGAAGGGAGGAGAGAAAAGACCATACGGCCATTGAAACACTGACAGGCTTAATATTAGTGGGAGACAGGATCCCACAAATGGCGCTCCTACCCTCTATTGCTCGCTAAACTATTCCTGTGACTATGTAGTTAACCATGCTGAAAATAAGACAGACACTGACTACAACATTTTACCCTCCCTGAGTCCAATCTTAGACTTAATAACCTATCAAAAATAAGTGATTGATTTAAATTGCACTCAACCTCATCAAACTGAGAATGCGAGCTACCTGAGGGAAGACATACCTAGTAATATAAAAACTGCATGCAATACTGTGCTATGCCCTTTTCTGATT